TGGTTAGAAATATTTGTGAGTCCAAGATCAATAGCTCTCAGCCCCTTCCCCTCCATCTCCCAGCCTCAGATTGTGGACACAAAGGCTGGGGGACAGCGTGTTTGCTGCCAGCTGCAGAACCACATTTAGTCCCCAGTGAGGATATTTTTATTTTCCCAACCCCTCAACTTCCTGCTTATTTGATAGTTTTGGTGAATTGAATCCAATCCTCCTCACCCCACCTGGGCTTCCCTCCTGCCCCAAAAGTAAATTGCTCTTACGGTAATCCTATCTCCATCTGCGTGTGTCTTGGAGCTGGCTGGAGGCCTTTGCAATCTTCCTGCTGAGGTCCCAGTGCCTGAGGCTGCCACAGGTATAATCTGGGACTGAGAGGGAGGCTTTGAAGGTGACCCTCGGGTGAGATTGCTCGACTGGTGCTTACAGAGACCCAACTGCACGCTTTTGATCTGTCTACTCACCTCTCCCTTCTTGCTGATTGAGTCAGCACAGATCCCAGAAACAGAAGCGTGAGGTTTCTCATCTTCACTGCCCAGACTTCTGCCACCCCTACCTCCTGCAGCGTGGACAGCAAGGGTAGTGCCCGGAAACTCTCAGCAGGACTGCCTGGGACCTTCTGAGCAGACCAGCAGCCTTGAGCAAAAAGAGCGGCTCCCTGGGTGCCCAACTGTGTTGAGTAAAACCTTTAGCAGGTATCTCTATCTGGTTGTTAGGGGATCAGGAAAGAAAAGTCAATAGCCCCAGGGCCTTGCAAGTCTCTGCTGTCTCTCATTGGGCAAAGGGCTCCTCCTTTTGCAAGACTTTTTTTGTCGACAGGGAGTAGAATAGCCCGGGGCACAGACTAAGCCCACTCAGGCTTTCTAGTGGCCTAGAGGTAGCTCCTTGCGGTCCAGTCTCCTGAATCCCACTCTAGATCCTCCTGGGAACCACAGTGAGTGAGGCAGACCTGGAGGAGTCCTGGCTCAGACCCTGGGGAACCCTACCCTTAGTCTGGCTGCGCTTCCTGTGCCCGCCCTGGCCTGCCCCTGCCCCTGCCCCCGGCCCTCCCTTGCCCTTCCCAGCCCTCATTCCTGTCGGGTGGCTCTCCATGAGACAGCGCCTGCCTGGGGCAGGGCCATCCCTCCTCCCTTCCTCAGAAGCCCCGTCTCTGGCCGCCCAAAAGCCATTCCTGTCAGTCATCCTCTGAGTGTACCAAAGAAGTGAGCACTCCCTTTCTGAGTCTTCTCCCCCACCCCCATGGCACCCAGCACGTGATGGCTTAGGAGAGTGCACAGACTCCGTGAATCAGCAAGGCTGACATGGATTCCTCCAAGGGCAGAGCTTGGGGTTGTCATGCGTTCACTCAGCAAGATGCCCTGAGCCCAACGGGGGCATGTGAGCAGACAGGTGCCGCTGTGCCAGGAGAGTGCATCAGGCCTTCCTGGTTCCCTGGGCCCTGCCCTCCCTTGGCAGGGGGTCCCTGGGCCCTGTGCTCTCCTCCCTCCCTCGGGGCACATCTGAGTCACTCGGGACAGGGGTGCTGGACTCTCAGGCCTGCCTCAGTTGGCACTTCTTTGTGTCCTCCATGCAGGGATCGCTCCCTCCTCCTTCTTGCTAAGATTTAGGTGGCATGTGGAGAAACACTTTCTTTAGTCTTACACACAAGCTTTTCAACGCTTCGGTCCACTGTATTTCTTTGAAATAAACTTTCAGTGTAGTGAGCAGTGTGTTTGAAGAAGGATGCCTACACAGTAAGGGTTTCAGTTGCAGTCTCAACTGTAGCCTTGAGGAAAACCAGAACTAGAGTTGAAAGAGCAAGCTGCGAGGACCCCTTCTGTGATGCAAATCAGCACGTGTGTGAGTACACATTGTGTGTCGTGGGCACATGGGATTTCCACCTCTGCCTGCAACGAGGGTGATGCTCGTCACAACACAGCTTGGCACCCGTTTTCTGTCGAACACAACAATGAGCAGCATCTACCCTCAGCACTTGGAACTGATTTTCCAAGAGTGGGCGTAAAACCCCTGCAAACCTGAAAGCTGCACTAAAGCAATTCTGGAGCCTGTACAGGAAGGAAGTTCTGAAAACGAACCCTGTTGGCACCCCAGCTTTAAGGAAACAGCCTGAAATGCACAGTCCCAACGGTGGGGGCTACAGACCAGGTCAGAGGGGTGGGGTTGGTGGGCTGGAGAAGAAGCAGATGAACGGCCAGGACTCTGTGCCTTGCTGCTGCTGGATGTTCAAGGCATCCTAAACAGTGTTTGTCATCAGATTCAGGAGAAAAGCAAAGAGTGTTTAATAAAATAAGCTGGAACTTCCGCACTTCCCTCCTGCTGCCCTGTCCTGGTTCCAGGCTGTGCCACCAGTTCTCGCCCTCCCTCTTCTGCTGGCTCTCAGCTTCCTGAGCCTGTAGCTCCCAAGTCTGGTTTGGGGTTTTTTTGTTTTGCTGGCAAGTGTGAAAAGTGCTGGGAGCCCCCTGAGTCAGCAAGCAAGGTTGAGGGTTCTCCATTGGGAAAAGAGGTCAGTGGCCCTGGGGCATGGACAGATGGGCGTGGCTGAACCCAGGGACCCTGCTGCTCTCTGCCTGATTATTTGCCCCCACCCCTGGTACCTCCCATCCTGGAGATGCCCTCCTCTGTGCTGGTTCACTTTCTGTTTTGCTTCTCTGGCTCTGTTATTGTGATGCTATTTAAAAACATTTCCACATGTGGATAGTCCCCAGGGAAAACAGTCAGTAGAGGGGAGAGAGCAGGGTGGCCCTCCCAAGATAATAGTCGAACCCCAGCATCCATGAGAGAATTTGGAGTCAAAGTCTCTAAATGCTCAGCAGCATTGCTTCCCTCCCTGGCTCAGGGCTGGCGGCTCAGAGTGTCCGAGCCAGGGCTGCAACCAAATAGCTAAGGGACCCTTTTGCCTTTCAGCATACTTCAGGCACAGTGTGTGGAGGGATGGGGGCTAGGGACTCAGCCATGGCCCTCCTGAATGATGGCTCTCCACACCCCTGGGTCTGCACACTGAGAGGCAACACCCCTGGACCAGGAGGATGGAGACAGATCCAGCAGGGGCTTGTCTGATGTTGAGGGTTTGCTAGGCCCCTCAGATGAGGACCATCAAGACCTATAAGCCTACTTAGGTTTTCCACGCATGCTTTTCTGCATCTGGCAGGGGATTGTATGCTATAGTGGTTCCTGAATTGGAAGCATCGCTGGGGAAGTCCCCAGAGGACACAGAGAGCTGCTATCAGCCCTGTATTGCAGTGGGCCCGGGGCTGCTAGAACCTATGTGTCTGCAGATCTCATTTCTGAAAACATCCCGAGGACACCGGGTACACACTGTGTTCCTCTGGTGCATGTGTAGGTGGCTGTTGTGGTGAGCTACGTCAATACCAGCATTCCTCACTGTCTGAGCTATACTACTGGAGAGCTTGGGGAGCAAGGACCACTGCATTCTTCAGATTTGTGCTTTGGATCAGGAGCAGCAAAAGTTCACAGTAAAAGGGATTTATCTAAACATCCTAATCCTTCTGGTGCCTGGGTTCAGACAGTAAGAGCTGGAGAGTGAGAGTTTGGATAGCAAGGGTATCATTTGTTTCCTGGGGCTGCTGCAACAGATTACCACGCATTAGGTGCCTGAAACAACAGAAACTTATCCTCTCACAGTTCTGGAGGCCAGATGTCCAAAATCAAGGAGTTGGCAGGTTCTTGCTCCCTCTGAGGCTCTAGAAGAAGCTCGTTCCTTGACTCTTCTAGCTCTAGTGGCTGGCAAAAACCTCAACATTTTTTGGCCTGTAGATGCATGATTCCAGTCTCTGTTTCCATCTTCATAGGACTTTCTCTCAGTACGTTCCTGTGTCCAAATTTCCTCTTCCTATAAGGACACCACTCATCACGTAGGGCCCTTTCTAATCCAGGATGACCCCGTCTTTACTAATTGCATGTGCAAAGACCCTGGTTTCAGTAAGGTTACATTCACAGGTATCAAGGGCTAGACTTGAACATATCCTTTAGGGGGACACAGTTCAGCCCACTCTGCCTAGGGAACAGGACAGTGTGCTGAGGAGCAGGAGACAGAGGGAGTTCAGTGCACACCCCTGTCTTTGGACAAGGTTTCGTGAACTTGCCTTCAACCATCTTTCTGGTAATGGCGCCGAAGGTTCTTATTCCTTATCCCTCATCTGAGCATCCCAAGAGGAGAGACCAAATGTCAGAGAATTAGCACCCAGATGGGCACTGAGGCCACTGAAGCTTTATGGGGCGTCCAGTAGAACTGGAAGGCCTTTCTTCTAGTGACAGATCTGTCACCTAAATGGAAACATTCTCCCCAAACCACTTGCCAACAGAAACCAACTGGAGGAATAAGCAAACCTTGGGCTGAGTCTTGAATGATGAACAGCCACATCCTAACATGGATTTGACAGATCCTGAGGCCCACAAAATGGTGTCATGTTCTAGCCAGATCTGAACCTCCATTTCCATATCTACCTGTCCCTCCTATTCCTCTGGATTTTTAAGAGTTGAATTAGTCCCTGACCTATCCTAAGCCCTTCTTAAGCAGCCATTGTAAGCCCTTCTTTAGCAGGTCATTGAGCTGCTCGGTGAGACTGACTGCCACAGCCTAAGTGGCCAGGAGGTGAGAGGACAGGGTGGGGCAGCTGGTGGACAGTTTGGGCTCAGGTCACCTCCCAAGTCTTTTTTTATTTTCTGGGTTCACCACACATAGGCAGTGTCCTTGCCCTCTGTGCCTGGCCATACTCTCCTGCCCCAGCCCCGGGGCTCATTAGAGAATTTGAGCTGGACATGGAATGAGATGCTCACGTCCCCACCCACTGCATCAGAAGACTAAGGTGCTGAGAAGGGCTCCCCCACCTGGCTTTGTATCCTGGAGGATTCCTTGTCTTCCTTTTCACGAATTTCACACCATTTGTGTGAGCTAGTGACTGCCTCCTATGGGGTTGGATGGTTAAGCTGGGGGCAGAGGTCACCAAACCTCTGGCTCAGGCTGAGTCATGGTGGTATCTTTGCAGCCTCCGAGGGACGAAAGCCTGAATGGCCTTCTCCAGGGATACAGGATCTACTACCGGGAGCTGGAATATGAGGCTGGGTCAGGGACTGAGGCCAAGATGCTCAAGAGCCTTTCAGCTCTCCGTGCCGAGCTCACAGGTGAGATGCTGTCCCTGTCCCCTCTGTCCTGGCAGGGCAGGGATGTCCCCCAGGGACCCTTGGCATCTACTCAGTGAACATCATGAGGAAAATTCTGTGTAGGAGGCCAAGGGGATGCAGCCCTGCTCTCAGGACCAGGGAGCAAGTGGGTTCACCTGCCAAGAGCATGTGGAGTGCAGGCGTGAAGTGGTGGATGCAGCTGTGAAGGCCATGGGGCCTTGTTTGCTGTGGACTATGTTAGGGAAGAGAAGTTACTGGGCCTTAGAGACAGCCTGCTGCTGCCTAGACGGGACATGGTTTGGGGCCTGAGGTGGAGACTCCAGGCAGGGACACGGGTCAGAACCTGTTACAAGACCCATCACATCCAAGGCTAGGCCCCATCTGTCTGCAGCTCAGCCTCAGCTTGGGACCCATGACGTCTCAGTCCTGGGCGAGTCTCTGCTCAGCTTGTGTCACTATCCCTGGCGCAGCACCGACGATGGTCCGACTTCAGGGAACTACAGGGAACTACAGGGAAGAAAGGCTGCCCCTCCTACCCCCTCCTCTCTTGGAAGGAGGTTAGAGGCAGTTTATTTCCTGGCACCCACCAAATGGCATCACAGAAGCTGCTCTTTGCCCTTGACGTCCTTGTGCTGGGGACAGAGCGAGGAAGCAGCTCCAGAAAGGGGCCACGTAGATGACTGCTGCCACTTTCTGCCACCTCCATCACATCAGGGCCACTGGGGCTCACCTACCAAGCACGTCTGTGGTGGAGCCTCTCCCCACCCAGCTCTTTCTCTGAGGGCTACGCCTGTAAATGCAGCCCCTGTGCTCACACAGCTTGACCCTGGCACGACACCAGAGGCGGTGTTGATGCATGTCAAAGATGGGAAACGGTCCCGTTGTTGTCCACACGCTTGGCACAGCCCTGGGAGTGCCTCTTGCTGACCACCAGAAAACTACGAGCATCCCCCTGGGTTTTGTCTCAAAATCAAGACACAACAAAATGGAAGGACCCGCAAGGTGACTGCATGTAAATTCTTGGACACAAAATGCTCTTCCTGTGTTGGTTTGCTTGTCCCCATCGGGCCAGGGCTCCTCATGTGACCGTGTATAAGCTGGCAGGAAGAAACTGGTGCCGCTTGGTGCCAAGTTGTACCAAATGCTGATTTGTCCGTTGAGTGAGAGAGGTGAGCACACCCCACCTCTCTGGGACTGGGTACCTTGCTGTTTTACGGGGATGTGTGGTAACCGCAGGGAGCTGATGGGACATGTGAGCGGCTGCGTGGTCCTGACTACCCTGCAGACGTGGTGTGACAGCCGGTCAAGAGAGGTGGCACCGCACCCTCGAGCCTGCAGTACCTGGCTTGTAGCAGCTGTTTTCCTGTGTGCTAACTGCCCTTCTGCTTTGCTTATCCCTAATAGCCCAAAGCAGCTTCAAGACGGTGAACAGCAGCTCCACATTGACTACATATGAATTAACACGTAAGTGCGCACCGCCTTCTGTGGGAAGCCATGAATGGGGAGCATGTCATGGTCAGTGCCAGGTGGCCTCTCAGCAGACCAAGTGAAAACCAGCTAGGGATAATGGCTCCAGTTTCTGGAATTCCCTCTCAAACGCTACTTCCAAACATCTCAAAACCGTTAGGGAGTCAAGAAAGGAAACTTCTAGAAACAGAAGATGGGGAGATTTGTTGACGTCTAGTCTTTGAGTTTGAGACAAAAATAATCATTTTTAAAGCATACGGTTCAGATACACTAAGCACATTCACATTGTTATGAAGCTATCACCACCATCCATCCATAGAACTTTCTCATCTTCCCAAACCGAAACTCTGTCTCTATTAAATGCTCGCTCCCCATGCCCTTTCCAAGCCCTGGAGACTACCATTCGACTTTCTGTCCATAAGGATCTGACTACACAAGAGACTACATATAAGTAGAATGGTACAGTATTTGTCCTTTTGTGACCGGCTTATGTCACGCCACATAATGTCCTCCGGGTTCATCCATGCTGAAGCGGGTGTTAGAATTTCCTCCATTTTTAAGGCTAATATTCCATTGTGTGGATGGACCCCATTTTGTGTATCCCCTCATCCTCCCTCTGACTTTAACTAAACTGTGTTGTTGTTCTTTGATCCTGGCTAGGGATGGGTTTTAAGATCCAAGTGCAGGGCTAAGGAGGGAAGGGAATCACTGCATGATGTGATTCACTTCAGTGCAGAAAAGTTGGCTGGCTTGGGAAGTGGACACAGGAGGGAGAAGGAGGGGTGGCCATTCTGGAGTCCCTGCTGTGTGGGAGGATTCTTCTAGGGCTTGTCAGCATGCTCCCTGTCCCGCTCCACCCTTCCACCACCCAGCAGGCCCTGCCCAGCCCCTGGGTGGTGGGGGCAGGATTCTCCCCCAGGCCTGTTTTCTCTTCTGCCTCGCTGCTTCCAGCAGCACCCCTCCTTTCATATGTTCCTCCATCACTCCCCGCATTTACTGAGGCTCCCATCACACCTGTCTACTGAGACCATCCCCAGTCCCCCCCACCCCCACCCCAGGTCAGGCACCCTCCCAAACCTCCCTTGGCTGAGCAGTGAGCTGGAGAGCTAGAGACAGACCAGGTTCTGGTTGTGAAGTTTCTTGGAGTTTGTCGTCGCCCCAGGTTGTCAATCACAGATTTTGAAAATACGAAAAGGGAATAGTCCACGTGACTGTGCCATGCCCACACTCACCTGTCTCCACTGACCCTTCTCCGTCTCAGGACACAGCAATCTGACATGTCCCTGATTTGAGTCTAACAAGCCAGGCCAGTGTGTGTCCAGGAAGCCCTCTCCTGGAGGTAGTTTGTAGGCCAGCACAGCACCAGGGTCAGGGAGGCGGGACCCTGAGTCAGCTGCGTGGGCAGAACCCTGCAAATATTCCGAGGAAGCCAGTGCTGGAAGGAGCAGAGTGGTCTGAGTCAAGGGATCTCTGCTGAGCCGGTAGCATGTGGAGAGGCACGATCAGGATGTGTGTCACATCCACACCAGCATGCAGGTGCTCAGGCACACGCAGGGCCTCAGAGAAGCCAGGCTACCCACAAAGCAACATTAACAGTGGGAGAACCTTCCAGAATGTTTTGGCTAAAGGTTGGTTACTCTTGCTCTGTCACTTAGTGCAGAGCTGGTGCTTGGCCACCTGAGTAGGTCTATATGTGGTTTTCCACACTTTTTCTTCCCAGGTCATTAAAGTCCCAAAGTCCTTTGGTTTACCAATGTTTTTAAATTAAAAAAAAAAATGCCAGAGTCTTATTCCATCTGTTCTTACTTTTAAGGAGAAATTCTGGATCCAAAGACAGGCCTGGATTATGTTTTGTTCTAAATCCTTTAGAGGAGAGAGCATTGAGCTGTCCTTTACCTGAACTCAGGAGAGGACTTGGCTTTTCTTCATTAGTAGCCAGGGAAGGAGCAGAGTGGCCCTGGTCACAAAGCATTCAGGAATTTCACTGACTTTGAATTATTTTCTTGCATCTCTTCTGAGGGCTGACTCCCTCCGTGTGGTTCACAGAAGTAAGTTTCAAAGTGTGGAAGGTGGTCCAGGACCAACTGATCCATTTTCTTTAACCTTGCAGATTTGAAGAAGTACCGGCGCTACGAGGTGATCATGACTGCCTATAACATCATTGGCGAAAGCCCAGCCAGCGCACCCGTGGAGGTCTTTGTCGGTGAGGCTGGTAAGCTCTGTGAACCACCCCACACCAAAGGCATGTTGTGACACCCTCTCAGGTGTCAGGCAGTGTTCTCCCTCTTTGAATGCACTGCTTGTGCTGCCAGAAGTCTCCATGGCTGCAGAAGATGGGCTTTGCCAAGAGCTGGAGTTTCCTAACAGCTAAAGTGAATGATCAGGCCTTGCTTTTGAGACCTGAAGGATTTGCTCATTATCTGGGCCATCATAGTTACCACAACTTTGCTCTCCAAGAGTGATGCAACTAACTAAGAAGGAATCTGGGTGTGTGGGAAACAGGAACCTCATTATCTGGGAGGGTGGGTATCTGTGCTGAACACACCGTCTGTCTTTGCTGGGCTCCACCAGTGACCAGGCAACCAGAGTCAGCCTGATGTCCTGCTAATGGCCCATTTTCCAGGTCTCAGAAAGTCAAGGGGATAATTGCTTCTACCCCTTTTAGATGAGGTATGACCCCTCGGTTTGATGGAAGGGCCCATCCCTTCTGTAGGATTAACTCCCCATGAGACACAATGTCTATGTATAGGTTGGGTTGTGCCTCCGTCCCCAGGGCTCAGTGTGCCCCAGGGATGCAATGCCCTCCCCTCTCGCAGAGAAGCCCATGGAGCCTCACCATCTCCTCGGCTGATGGTTTTAAAGAGTTCCTGGGTTTTATGTGCAGCCTGGTGTTCCTGCTCACATCTGTGGGTGTAGATTCAGAAGGTTGATTCTTCCCGCCCAGAAAAATCAGCATTTCCCTCAGGAACAGAAGCCCATCCTTGCAGGATGTGCAGAGTAGGAGGACGGAGGTTCGGGCTGCTGGGCTCACGGGTAGAAACACATCCTGTGACCTTTTGCCGTTTGGAAAGGTTATTGTTATAAACCAATCAATAGCACTGAGGGTCTAGCCTAGCAGATTTTTTCTGAAATGGCCAAGCAATATTTGCATACAAATGAGGATAGGCCAAATGGGACATTGGGAGCATACATTATTTCTGCCTCTCTTTGCACAAAAATTTGTTCAAAGGGGTCACTCAGAGCAGTCACGGCGGGGGCTGGGCCTTCTCATAGGGATGGGCCTGGCCACCGAGCAGAGGAGGGACATGGGAGGGGATGTCACGAGCGCCATCAGTGAATGATGGACGCCACACTCTGCAGTGGCTGCAGCAGATTCCAGGCTCTTCGGTCATATTCAGGCGACTGGGCTCCAGCTGGCCACCAAGGTAGGGGGTGGCCTGAGGGGAGCTAGTGACATGTGGCTGAGATCTGTAGTACCTGCACTACGGCAGCTGGCATAGCAGTGGGACCTCTGCTCACCGGGCAGCCTATGCACCAGGGGTAGGATGCCAGGATCCGGGGTCTCAGGTCCTGAGTGTCAGGGGCCAAGGCAGAAGTCCAGAGGAAAGAGTTGCAACATGGGGGAGGGAGACTGGCTAGAAACTGGGGAGTCATGTCAGGGCCAGCCCGGCAACACTGTGACTTCACACTGCACTCCTGGCCCCAATGCCAGGGTTTGTTTGGTTTATTTGCTATTGTCCGGCAGCTTCACTTCTGCATGGGCCTCTTCTTGCCCCTGGTGGTTTGCAGACCCGAGCAGTCGCTTGGAAGAGAGCAGTGGCCCGGGCGCTGGCTCTCTCTGCTCCTCCCCACTCAAGCCCACATGGACTGGCTCTCCCATGTCTGAAATGACATGCCTGTCTCATGCACTGGACCTGCCAGGGCCAGTTCTGCAGTTGGGCTTCTCAGCCTTTGTTCAGGCTCAGTATACTTCTCTATCCTCTGTGTTGACACTGGGGAGAAATTTCTGGAAAGAGGAAGCCAGTTAGTCATTCCTGCTTCCAGTTAGTTGTTACCATTCCAGTCTCTGCTTTCCCAGCCCAGCCACCCTCGTTGTCATAATTTCATTCCGGTGATGAAGGGGACTGCTAACATGTTGACTTGCAGCAAGTAAGCCTTCGGAAAACAAACTTAAGGGGGGCGTCTCCATTCACTCTGGACGCCTCGGAGCATCACAAGCTAGTCAGCCTGATGTTCTCAAACTCTTCTATGAGAGAAGACTTTGCTGGGGCTCCGCGACTAAAGTGTGTGAGTCTGAGCATCAACTCTGTCGTTTCCTGGCTGTGTGACTACGCGTAGGTCAAGTAACCGTTCTGAGCTCCAGCTTCGCAACTCTGTGGTACAGCAGGGAACCTTGCAAGCCAGAGTGAGGAGACCCAGGTTCTCATCTTAGTCGTCTCTTACGTGGCTGACTCATCGCTGCTCACAAGATGAATGTCCAGAGTGTGCCTGGCCCAGGGCCGGCTCCAGTCAGTACTTGGTGAATGAATGAAGGAGCCCCTGGACGAGTCCCTCAATTTGCCTGGCATCATCTATAAAATGATGAAGTGTTCAGAGTGGGTGATCTCTGGGCATCCTCGAGTCCAAACATGTAATATTTAAATCTGTTTAACCTTAGAGAAAAAGGGTAATTTTTAGGGGATTTTTCACTGAGGTTGAATTTACAAGCCCAGACATTGCAAATTGGTAAAAATATCACATCAGTAGGGACTCCAGTCTGCAGGAGATAGACCCCTACCTTTCCAATCCAACCCAACAAGCTTAAACTGAAAGAATAATTTATTAACTCCTGCAACAGAAGAGTTAAAGAGCCTGGTACAGCTTCAGGCAGGGCTGGATCCAGTGTCCCCTGCAAGGTACTCCCACATCGCCTTGGTTCCACCTTCCTCTTGGATAGCTCCTTTCTTAGGCAGGCTCTTCACCAAGGTGATCCCGTAGCTCCAGGCAGCAGAGTGCTTCCCTTTCTCTGCAGTGTCTGTGAGGGAAATCCACCGGCTCTTTAGCCTGCCTTTAGTTGCATGCCCAGATTGACCGCTGTGGCCTGAGGCACCAAAGCTACGGAATGATGCCATCTCTACCTGGAGCACATGGACCAAATGTGAGGTGGGAGGACCCCTGGAGGACACGGAGTGCTACTGCTTGAAGGGGAAACATACTTGCTGTGACTGTCTGCCATAGCACCCGTGTGCAGAGCTTGCCAAAGCATCCAGCTCTGGGCCCGGTTCCATGTTCCACACTGTTGTAGGCACTGTGGGGTATAAAGGATCCACACCCTGCCTTCGAGACCCTCACTGCTTGTGAACAGGCCGTGTCCTCTAGATAAGCCACACTCCTGCCCTGGACCCAGGGCAGACACATCAGCTCCTGCCTGGAGTTCCAGGCCCCCAGGCTACTCCATCTGCACCTGTGCCAAGCTGTGTCCATCTGGAACTACTGCTCTTCCTTCCCACCATGTCCCTGGAAAACTCCTTAGTCCTCCCATGGAGTCCATCTTTCCTGCCAGCCCTTGAAGGAGTGGCTGTGTTCTTTCTCCCCAGGCAGAACTGGATGTTCTGGCCTCTTTTCCAGAACGCACTGTGCACACAGCTCTTTGCGCCCCTACCTGAGGACAGATCCGTTCTCTCTGAGCTCTGCGAGGAAAGGGACCCCTCTGATGTATCCCCACAACCTCATGCAGTATAAGCCTAGAATGCGGTACATACTCTGGAAATGGAGGGAGGGAGGGAGGGAAGGAAGGAAGGAAGGAAGGAAGGAAGGAAGGAAGGAAGGAAGGAAGGAATTCAAGCGGGGAGGGAGGGAGAGGAGAGAACACGTTTAGGAAGGAAGAAGGAAGGAGAACAGTGTCATGCAGCCCAGACCACAGGTATCGCTGCCAGAAGCAGATGCCCGAGTGACACCAGCACTCCAGCAGGGGCTGGAGCGACCCCAGGGAGCTCAGTGAAGGCCTGAGGGAGGCCTTCTGCCCCGAGCTACGGCAGCCTCAGCTTTCCTGCTTGCCCTGCAGCCCTTGTGCCTTCAACAGGGACAGGAGGCTCTCAGTCCCCAGGAGCTCTGAAACTGGGCGGGGTTCAAAACAAGACAGAATGGAGCACAGCAGGGCTGACTAACTGCAGGCAGAGCCCCAGCTTCCTGTCCAGTTCTTAATCCACACTGACCCCAAACAGATCCAGCCCCATGTGCTGGGGGACAACAGGGCAGAGCAGACACCCGTGGCCCCTGCCCCGCTCCCGGGAACCGGGAGGCAGAGAAGCTGGTCTCCCAGAGCAGTGACCTCCCACACCTGTGCGGCAGCTGGGATCGCTCATCCACTGCATCTTCTCCAGGGGCTCCCTTTAACCAGAGCTGGGGCAGCAAAGCCACAGCGGCAGTTGCCTCTGAACAGAGCCCCCAAATAAAAGGAGGTGCTGTGTCTCCACGTGGGCCATTTCTTATATCCTGCAGCCGCACGGACCCCTCTGCCCCAAGCTCGTCCCCTGAGCCAGCCTTCCCCTCCCCCATCCGTGGCTGCTGTTCCACCTGACTCACCCCCGGCCTAGTCTTCCAGGTTGCAGGCAGGACCCAGTGGTCCCCCGGGACCCTCCTTCCCTCTTCTAGTGTAGATGTTCACTGTTGGGGCAAAGTTCTCTATCCCCACAGCTGGCAGACTCCTATGGAATCCTCTTGTTGGAGGGGTAGGGAGGGTATTGCCAGAGCTCCTGTAAGGCTGGGGTTTGAGTTCCTGACGCAGCAGGCCTGGATCACTGTGTCACGGGGTCATGATAAAAAATCCAGTGAGACAGACACATGGGGGCCTCGTACCATGCCAGGAGTGCCTAGATGATAGAGCATTCCCTTCCCCTTCTCATCCACTTGAACTTCAAGGGTGGGGCACCATGAGCGGTTCCTGCCTGTGTCCCATCTGCTTGCCCTCTGGGTCTCAGGCCCAGTTTTAGAGTCAATGGACTCCACCTGCAAATTCAAACCATGTCATCTGTAGAGCTGAGACTATCATAACCAGTGAGAGGAAAACTAATATAGATCTGGGGCAGCCTGGCTGATAGACCCATGTCAGCCAGGAGCAGCATCAGCTCAGAAAGTGACCATGTCAGCTCCAAGACCATGACTGGGGTTTTTCAAAACCAGGTGCCCAAGAAAATGATGCAGTGCTCTGGGTGACCCAGCAGAGAGTGTGGG